TTTCCCTCTACTTCTTTTGTATGTTTGTCACTCTCTTGTGAACTGCTATTTTCGGAGTGCCTTGATAGTCGAAGCAGACTTTGTGTTGTTGAGGCTAGAGAAGTGAGCAGAGTAAGCCTGATTCCCCGTTTGGACTTCTCTGTTGACGTTATGCAGTTGCGAGCGCCGTAAAATCTTACAAAACTAAGAGATAGAAGAAGGTCATTCTCATCACTGCAGATGTCAATATAATGAAAAGTCTACTTTCAATTCTTGCTTTCTCTCTTTCTTTCAGTGTGATATCCAACTGCATCCAGCTGTTAGTACAAGATCTAGAGACAGCCTGTGAACCAGCACTTACAGCGATGACCAAGGTAAAATTTCACGAAAGTTTCTCACTGTCAAAGACAGCACACTTTCTATCAATGCTAGCACCATACCCAATGCGAACACACTTCAATAACCCCCCCCTCCCAAAAAAAAAGACAAAACAAATAGGGATAGTAATAAACAATGGAAACAATAATAAAAGATATCAATAAACGCAGACAGCATTCTTCAGTGGTTTCAGGATTTCTACACTAACGCTGTAAGAGTTGCTCTGTGTTTAAAGAGTTAAATAGCTAGATTAGCCACTGATCTGAGTTGACAGTATGTGCTGTAAAATGATAGGGTTCTAACTCCAGGGTTCACGGTTTTAAGAAAATTGGATTCGAAGGGTCACCCTCTTATGGATAAAATGGTTTTACACCCTGTTTGTTGACCCCCTTGTTGCCAGGGTGTGTGTGCATTCCTACTGTCAGCACTGATTTTCAGCTATTTTTTTGTAAAGGTTTTAACTATTTCTTGATTGTGAATGTGTTTTACAGTGCTGTCATTTTTAAAATTGTGATCTGCATTGATCATCTTTTCGAGACGAAATATAAATGTAGTTTATTATTACTATTATTAATTTTTGTTATTATTATCATTATTATTAAATTATTATTTTTGTATTATTGCTATTATTAGTATTATTATTGTTGTGTTATCATTATTATTATTTTTATTATTATCATTATCAAATGTTCCTGGTGATGAACAGATGCCGTGGTCCAGCATTGAGGCTGTGGGTGACCAGAGTGGCTACGTGACTGCCGTGACCAGCCACCTCAAACAGAACATTCCCATCATCAGAGACAACCTGGTGTCCTCCCGGAAGTACTTCACACAGTTCTGTGTCAAGTTTGCCAAGTGAGAACTTACAATTTTTTTTCTTGTGCTCATAGTGGGGTTTTGCATAATACGTTGCAACTTTGTGGAAAGCTTGGGCGCAGTTGGTAGGCATTCCTGTAGGGTTTGCTTCTTATATCATTACTTTTTGTCGTCTTTTGATGTTTCTTATATCATTACTTTTTGTCGTCTTTTGATGTTTGTTTTTCACTGTATTACCTGTCCTGGGCAACAACGTTATTGCACACTGGACAGGTCCATAAGTGCTCAGTTCCCCCCAGCACCAAAGCCCGCAAGGTATCCTTAATGATTGTTCCGTTGGCTGTCTGATTATGGCGACATCTTTCCTTTCCAGATAATCGTTCCTTTCTATCTTCTCCCCTTGCTATCCCCATTTCCCGCATCCTAATAATTGCGTGGTGTTCTGCTGTCTCCCTGTCTTCTTCATCCCGCAACTTTTTCTCCAGGGTCTTCAACACTTCTCCTTTGTCAAATTTCACCTCTCCATCACTGCCTGCCAGCTTATCAGCCTCCTCATTGCCTTTCACTCCAGAGTGCCCAGGACAGAATATCCACGCGATGGCGCTAAGTGATAAGTGTTGTATTGGGTTCATCCATTCACTCCGAAGAGGCCCTTTCTGAACCCTTCGCTTGATGCTCTGGGAGTCTGTGACAATGATGAGATGGGTAGTTCTTGGTCTTGTATTATGAAGCCAGCCAAGCGCTCTTGTTACGGCCTCAATCTCCATTTTCATGCTTGAAGTTGTTCTTTTTATGGCCCCTGACATGCTATGAACCTTTTTGTTCCCACTGTACACCACAAAACCCCATCCACCTCTCTCACCCTTCCTGATCGATCCATCTGTATAGATCACTGGTTCCTCTGGCTCGGAATGCTCCTCAATTAACTGTCGTATGTCATTGTCGTTAATGACAGAAGCACATTCCCGTCTTTCACAACCCATAGTGATGTGAACATTGGCTAGGCTTCTGCAATCGGGGCTCAGTTCAAACCATTCCTTTCCACAGCATATTTCATCGATGCCACAAGTCTTCAGCTTCTGCCATTGTTGAGCTGCCCCGTTTGATCCTGTTTCCTTTGATGCTGCCTAGGTTGTCATGCAAAGGGTGCCTCGGGTCTCCCAAAACATTCCAGTACAGCTTTGCCTGTGCCACCTTATGCCTCACTCTGATGCTGGCCAGGTCAAGGATGTATCTCATAAAGACAACATGGGTGTCCTTTGTGCAACCTAGAACGGCCCTCTTAGCTGCATTCTGTACTCTCTCCAACCTGTCTACCTGAGTCTTGGACAGGGAGAGGATGTCCAGACCATAGTCTATGACTGACAGAACCACCAGCTGCAATAAGAGAAAAAGAACTCTCTTGAATTCCTGCTGAAGCCAAGGTCTTCACTGCATTGATGCCCTTCTGAGCCCTGACAGCTACATTGTCAATATGTCTTCGGAAAGAAAGTGTCCTGTCCAGAGTGATTCCCAGGTACTTCAGCTCATGCTTTCTGTCTATGAGAAAGTGGTCAAACACAATTGGAGGGGTAGGATCTTTCACAATGCGGTTGTTGAGTGAGCTCCAGATGACCTGTGCTTTGTCTGGATTGATGACCGCATTGTATTCCTCACACCAATCTGCGACCTTGCTCAGCCTGTCCTGTAAGCATCCGTCCAACCGCTAGCCTACCACGACCTTGTCCGTAGACCATCACATCTTCTGCAAATGTTAGGATGTTTTTCACTTGTAGGCCTAACTCTAATTTATGGCTCTTAGATGTGTTTCAAATAGGGGAAAACCTCTATCAAATTAAGCATTTCAGAATATCTCATGAGTCAAAGCAGAAGAAACCAGGATGAAAATGGTTGAAATAACCAAGCTCTCAAACGTGAGACTGGCACTTTTACATATTATATCACTCTGGGATATTTGAAGATCTTATTTTTTTATTATTTTTTTTTTATGGTGAAAGTTTTGGATTTGATTGCTACCATAGTGTAGCTCATGTGAAATGTCGTAAGAAATGGGGTCACCCTTGCTTTGGTTTTAGTTATTAAAAATCTTTTTACAGTTTTGCAATTGTTTATTTTCAGCTCTTTCATTCCAAAGTTCGTCGGCACATTGTACAAATGTCGACCTTCCAACACTGTCGCGGCTGAGCAGGTGAGAGAAGAATTTACATACTGAGAAATCGTAATTTGGACTTATTAAATGTGAGGCGTCGTGGTGAAAACCGGCGCTCGTCAAAATATTAGAAGAAATCGGCCTTTTTCGGCCAGTTTGAACATAAAAAAAACAACTCAACACTTTGTATGTCCATTTAAAAACAATTTTATGCATGGATTTTATGGATAAACATTGATTATAGCTCGAAAAATGTAAATTTGCAGTTTCAAGGACTCTTGAGCTATGGAAGTCACCAAACTTTGGCGGCCCTTTTCTCATTAATTTTACTTCTAAAACCAGACGACCCCACCTCCTTCAGTCCCAAATATCTCGACTTCTAATTATGATAAATGGATATTTTTTTCATCAAATGCAAGGCAAATGAACAACCTTTAAGATGATACCAATAACTCCATTTACCCAAAAATTAATGAGTGCAGGATACGTATGTGCCCTCTATTTTTCTTTTTTTTCCCCCCTTCCCTCCATTGCCTTCTCTTTCTCCCCCCCCCCCCCCCCCGGTTGACACAGTTAGTGGTTGACATGTGCTCTGATGTGGTCTTTGCCTTCTTTCCTATCTAACATCTGTCATCCTCATCTCTCCTCCTTCTTTGCTTAGTTTGATACTCTTTAGTAACACCTTTAATCATTGGCACGTACATGACCTATGTGTGTTGCAGGTGCCATAATACATTTACTAAAACTAGAAAAACTGTGGCAACTATTCACTACGTTATTGTATGAATTTTAAAGTTTATTAAAGACATTGACTGAATGTCCATAATTTCTTGTGTCGAAGCTGTAAGACATTGCATTTTTGTAAATAATTTTTTGTTTGAACTTTTTGCTTTGGTTTACTGTTCCAGGGTATTGAAGCTGAAACAGATGACCTTCTGCGTAAATCAGAATGTTTTGTTTTTTTTGGTTAAAAAAAATTTGTAATAAGGAGTGCTTTTTTTGGTGACATGAACATTTTTTTGGATGTCTTACAGTTGCTTCTGGATACTCATAGCTTGAAGACGGCTTTATTAGAACTGCCAAGTCTGGGATCTCAGATGTCGAGGAAAGCACCGGCAAGGTATGTTGCTCAGGGGGCATCTTGTAGCTGGTCTTGTTTTTTCCTTTCTCTATCTGTAATGTCTGTCTGTGTTGTCTGTATCGTGGGTGGTTGACGTTGTGGTTTGCTCCTTCTTTCTGATCAAACATCTATCGTCCGTATCTCTCCTCCTTCATTTCTTCGTATGTTACTCTCTTGTATCACCCTCCAATTTTCAGCTCTTTATGACCTATTTGTGTTACAAGTGTTGTAAAGCTTTCACTAAAACTAAAATTAAACGCTGTCAATAGTTCTTGACTGTCCCATTCTTGTTTCTGTCTGTCTGTTTTCCTTTTTTTCCAGTTTTATGTCATAGTTGTCACTGTTAAATAATAAAGATTATTTCAATAGCACCTACTCTTTGGTGGGATCTAAACACTTCTCTAACAAGTAATATTTGGGGGGCTCTCGTGGCCTAGAGGTTAAGGTGTTGGCCTCTCATTCAAAGGTCCCGGGTTCGAATCCGGGTAGCGACCAAAAAATTGTCTTCTCTAAAATTGTCTCCTTTCACCTCCTTTCCTGCTCTCTAGCAATGTTCTGTTGTCTGCTTTATTTCCACTTTCTGCCCCCACCCCCTCACCTCCTTTGCCCCCTCCTCTGGGCTCCTGACTCTTTCTGCAGCCTTTCTACTGCTACTCCTTGGCTCCTCCTTACTGCTGTCTCTCTGCTCTACACCTAGCCTTCTCGGACAAGGGCGAAAAATCTCGGAGGGCACATGTGCAAGTTGCGCACGTTTAAGATCCCTTGGTGGTCTAAAATCGATAAGAGTAGGCTTCGGCCGCCACCCGGGCAAAATTCAAAATTTCCTACCAACTGAAAATATTAGGTGTGTCCCGCGCGCTCATATGACCTATGCAGTTGCGAGCGCTGTAAAACACTTTACAAAAAAAAAGAAGAAAAAAAAAAGTAATATTTCGCCAGCTTATATATAATGACAAGCTTCATGCTTACAGGTCTGTTCAATGTACAACAATCCTACCAAATATATATGCACTGTAATATACCAATAGGGATGTTCTGACAAAAGAACATTCACAAAAAGACATTCTGAAATGCCTAAAGAAAGCTTATATATAGATAGTTACAATTTGTTTTTTCTGCGAAAGTTAGAGGGAATACAGAAGACGTCTGTGACAAAAATGACAATGCGCTGAAGTGACCAGTGTTGGTGTTTACATTTAATAAGCTCTTTGCCATCATGAGTTTGACTCCAGTGTGGGAAAGATAATGTGGTATGTTGACATAATATTATCAAGAGTACAACTAACAGTATGTAGCAAGTGACCCCTTCCACCTTGTCATTTCTAACTTCATGTAGAAGACTTCAGTGTTATTTTCTTTTCTTAATAATTGTTCTTGAACTTTTTTCAGCTTTACCAAGATAGTTGTGAAAGGGATGACCAAGGCAGAAATGATTCTCAAGGTAAGGGGGTCACCTTGTCTTTTACTCTAAATTTAGTCTTGTTACATTTGCGCTCAACTCGACAGAAGGGAAGAATCTATAAACAGTCAGAATTGTCCAAGACGACCATCCATTGTTGAGGAGAAAAGTGGTTGTCTTAGAAATGTGGAGGTAGTGGAGGTAGTTCTTGTATAATTTTTTTTAATGCCTGGAGCGTAGGTCCCTTGACAAGGGATAGCCAAACTCCTGACAGAACCATTTGGAGAATAGCAATTAGTAAAGGTAGCCAATCATAAAAGATTTTTTGAGTTAAAAATGCTGAAACAAAGAGAGTAGCCTGTAAGCTGAGCTTATCCACAAGTTGGAATGAAATTTTTAAATGCTCAAAATGTGGCCAACTCTTTACTCTTCTTTGCTATAATTGGTCTCACTCCCCATAAGGGAAATTACAAATCATCCTAATTCTTATTTTTTCTATTTATATATTCTCCTCTTCAGATGCATTACTCATCATTAGACATTGATGGACAAACTATTAGGATTATCACTAATGACGGGGAAATTATCTTTTGCAGGTTGTAATGTCGCCTCAACACCCCCCTCAAAGTTTTGTGGACAATTTTATCAGACTGCTCACAGATGCTGATATAAATGATTTCCAGAGAGTGCTTGAAATGAAGGTAAAGTTTTTTTTTTTGTTCATCCACATTTTGTTGTGATTATTGGCGAATTTGTGTATGTTTTCACTCTAGAGTGTGTGTGTGTGTGTAAGGAGGTTGGGGGGTATGGAGTGTACAGACACTTTTTCCTTCTTTTCTCACCAGTTTTCTTGCCATAGTCGGCTCTTAATTGCCTCTGAAGTGCCAAAAAAAGATTATCGATAGTTTCAGGTTTCAGGTTTGTTTGTTGTTTTTTTTTGTGTGTGTAAAGTTGGAGTTGAGAAGGTCTACATCAAATAAATGACAGTAGGCTGAAGTGTCGGTTGCTTCCAATAGTGAACCTTTCACTCCCTCCTTCTCTCTCTCTCTCTTCCTACTTCCTGCCCACAGTTATTTCCGTGAGCATGCTGTGAGATAACTAGTGGAAATAGGTTGTGTGTGTAAAGTTCAGTTGCTTTTTGGGTATACCCTTAGGTTGTGGCAGAAGAAGTTCTGTCCCTCAATGTATTTTCTTTCTCTCAGGGAGTGGGGGAAATATGCTGCTCTGTGAGTATGTACAGAGGATATGGCAGAAGTAGTATTCATCAATGTGTTTTCCTGTCTCCCAGGGCGTGAGACGAGGCGACCAGAGCTCCCTGGTGGAGATGTTCCGGGCCCGGGTGCCTGTATCTTCCCTGCTGGCCAGCACCAGCCATGGGGGACTAGCCACCTCGCCCAGCGGTGTCAGCGTGAGTCAGCAGCCTGCCACGCCCGAGCCAGAGTCCAGCAGGATACGCAAGCTAGAGAAACTCATCAAGAAAAGGCTGTAGATATTGGCGTTGTTTTTCAATTATGTCAGTTCATTGTTTTTGAAGCTGAGACTTTGTGCTATTGAGGCTAGAGAGGTGAGCAGAGTAAGCCTGATTCCTCATTTGGACTTCTCTGTTGACATCAACCCCTTGGCGCTCATATGGCCTTATGCAGTTGCGAGCGCCGTAAAACCTTACTAAAACTAAAGCTGTGTGTTATCTGAATCGATAACAACAACAGCAGCACCTGGATCTATAACAACAGGATCGATAACAAAAACAACTGGATCTCTATAACAACATGAAGCTGTTGGCTTGTGAAGGGTGGCTCAAAAATTCTTTTGAGTTGTAAACTCCTTTGATTAATGCCATGGTTATCATTTTTTGTTTTTGAAAGATAACTTTTCCCTTTGTTTTATCATGGAGATGATGATCAAAAAACTTCCAGAATCAAGGCACTTGCATTTGTTTTAGACCAGGCTTTTCGGGAAGGAAAAATGTGAACTTTGGGCAATTATTGTTTACTGTCAGGAGTTTTTATTGTTTACAAGTTTGTGTTTGGTTGATGCCTCTGTTTATTCTAGACATTGGTAACTGCCATGAGCATGTTGGGAAATGTAAAGTTCTTATAACTCCTTCTGTGTTCGTCTTTTTACTGTTGAAGATGATAACATAGAAAGTTATTTTTTGTGCCACCATATAGAATATAATATTTATAATAATATGTATATATAGATCTATATGTTAATTTATGGAGGGAGCTCTGTTATGTTGTTCACTGTTGCAAGAAAGGTTGAGGTTCTGTCCTGTATTTTCTGTATATTTTATTGAGGTTACTGGAAAGGTTGAGTTTTTTTTTTTCAGAATTAACTTCCATACCTGAACTCTATCCTAACTCTTTCAGTACGCATGGGATTCCACAATTTTACGCAGCTGATTTGAGACGGCAAAGGGGTGTTATGTTAAAACTTCTCTCATTCGGTTAATAATTGATGGATTTGTTTGTGTTAGCACTCAAACTATTCGTAATTGGACATAGAATCACAATATGAGTGAAAATGGTTAGTAACTGTAGCACAAAGTAGGCAATAGAGGATAAAAGTAGTGAAAAGTGAGAAAAATAACCAAAAATGAGACTGAAATTTTCAACTCACCACAAAAATGCTCGTACAATCCATCGAATAGGCAGCAAAGAGTGAAATCTAATCAAAGTTTATCCATTTAGGAAGGTCCAGGCCAAATTTCAACTGTATAGCAGCAAAACTGTTCATTTCACAAGCAAATGAAAATTGTCACGAAAACAGACAAAAATGTATCCACAAAGTCCACATCCCTAACAAGTGTCACTGTCCCCCCCCCCCCCCCCGCCCCCAAGCCCTGTATTTACATCACAGGGCAAGATGATAGGCCTCAAAGCATGGGGTGGGATGCAAAAATGGCTGGTTTGGGCATCCCTTGCAGTAGAATGAGGTCCTTTTCCTGTTTGTTGGGGTGTTGCAATGTCGACAAACGCGTGTAAGGCTGGACTTCACTGCAAAATGATTGCTTTTCATTCCAGCCACAGGGTTGTTTGATGGGATGTGGCCTCTATCATCAGGCTGCTGCTGTTCAATGTCCTCCAGAAGGAGTGCTGCTGTATGAGAGCACATCTCTGAAATCAGATCATGCTTGAATTTCAATAGTGGCGTTTTCCTACCCTCGGCTTTCATGTGCAGAATGTGGGCATTCACTTGACTGACCTCAAAAATCCAAAAAAAGATTTTTTTCCACCATTTAGTGCTCTTCCTGGTGTACATGCCGTAGGTTTGGACAGCTTGATCAACCCTGTCGCACCCATTCATGTTGAAATTATACGCGTTTATCATCGATGGTTTTTCGACATCTTTTACTGTCACCGTGGCAACGGAAGAACTGTTGGAGACAGCAGCACAGGACTTTTTCGCTTTTTTATCTCTAAAAAGAACACAGAGAAGCTGCTTCTCTCTGTGCAGATACCACTGTATTTCCCTGTGAGCCAGTTTGGCTGTTTTGAGCTCAGCAGGGAAGCCTTTCCGGTTTGCGTTCACTGTGCCGGTGAAGTAAAACTGCTTTTCCCTCAGATGATTTAGGAGTTGCATACTGGTGTAGTATCTGTCAGCGTATATATGGTGGCCTTTGACGAGAGGGGACAGGAGTGTTTCAAAGACTCTCACAGATTGTTGTGCGTCTGCTGTCATGGGGTCGAAGGAAGTCTGTGCGCCAAAGTAAATACGTAGGTTGATGACATAACCAGACTCGCTTTCGCAGAGACCGAAGGTCTTGACATGGTATTTACTTGGTTTGGTAGCGTTGTACTGCTTGTGAGCCCATCTTCCTTTCCAACCAATGACCATTTCATCCAAAGAAAGCTCTTGTGTTGGATAATATGCAGCCTGAAATTGCACCAGAAGTGAAGAAACGAACGGCTCAATTTTTGCTTTCCCTTGTGCGTCCAATTCACAGGCATGCAGCATCGTGTGAAAAATGTGCTGAAACCGGTCACGACGAAATATTTGCCGAAACCAGGGTGTTGCCATATGTGACAAGTCGGTGTTCCAGTAGTCAGAGACACTGGGCTTCTTTGTAATCCCCATTGCAATGATTACTGCAAAGAATTTGAAAAGTTCACCTGGTGTGATCTTACGCCACTTTTTGTATACGGAGCGCTCCGTTGCCGTTGCTGCTCTAGCCTCACATCTTTGATTTCCGTAATCGTTGATGTTTTTACATAGCTCTTCCACAATTTCATCAGTAAAATAGAGCCTGAAAAAATCAAGAGGCACCATTCCTCTGGTGTCAATATCTGGGTTGATCCCTGTGAATCGAGGGGCGAAACGAAAAGCGTTGTTAGCAGAACCCTCAGTCACTTTCTCCCACTCCGGAGCTAAAGGTCTCAACGGAGATCTTGATCTAGATCTAGATCTAGATCTAGATCTGGGCCTGTTATTTCTGTTACTTTGCCCCTTCCCAATACCCTTTCCCTTGTTTCGAGGCCTGCTAGTAGACTGGCTTGTCACAGGACCAGGTGTTGTTAAACAGTTAGTTCTAGAACTAGAGCAAGAACTAGATCTAGAAGAAGGGCCAGGCTGGTCATAGTCAGAATCGCTAGAGGATTCATTCCCACCACCATCAAGTTCGATGTCAGACACTTCACTACAGTCACTTTCTTCATCTAGTAAAGTTTGAAAAAACTGACTAGCTTGTTCAGCAGAAAGCCGCGTTGATCGAGGTCTTGATCCAGACATAATTGAGAGCTAGCACACAAGCCACGAAAATGTAAACAAATGTAGAAATAAATACTCTGCACAAAACAGCGTTCAAACTGCGTACTCGTAGCGGTACAAAGTGGCCGATAATGGGAAAAGACGCTATTTTTACCGCCTTTTAGAATCACTAAACTTGGACTGGAAAATGTTTCGTATTTCTTGTAGTTTTCGTGGCTTGAAATCGGTACCCCGCAAACGCCATTTAAGTGGCGTGCCGTAAAAACGCGGAGCCACAAACGCCACTTAAGTGGCGTGCCGGATTCAAAGAGCTAAATTACTTTTGGGTATCAGTACATCAATTTTTTCATGCAACAAATAAGATAAAGATTAAGATGGTTGTTTTCTTTAACATCAATTAGGGATGACCACTGTTCCACAAATTTCTGAAATACATTTCACAGCTGGAGGTCTTTATTCTTTCTTTTTTTTGTGCAGTATCTGTATTTATTTATTTTTTTCAATTTCCCTTAAGTTTGAGATTTTTTTCAAAGCCATAACCGAAAAACCAATCATCTTTGTAAGAAAATCACAGACAGAATGGAAATTAATATTGATCACACAAAGGTTGCATGAGAACTGTGGAATAAGTTTCAGTTATGGTAAGCCTGAGCAATGTTCTGTTTAATGCAAGTAACGAAACCGGTCTTGATCAAAATCAATGAAATTATTATTGTATCTTTTCTTTACACAAACAAGATGAGGTCTGTATAGTATATAGCCCTATATTGGGCATGAAAACATTTCGAACATTGTTGGTGAAATAAATGTAATCCAATGAATGCAGCCCCTGAACTAAAAAAGTTATAGAGCCAAGCTCGTACACATCTGTCTGAGGACTTCATTTTCTAGTCATAAGGTGAACTTCATAAGAGGATTCGCGTGGACCAGTACAAAATATAAGAGATGTATAGACTGAGGGATGTATGGAAGAGGGAGCATGCCTTTTTTTTTTGTACTGTCGAATTATCCAAGATGGCTACCTATTGTCGAGAAAAAAAGTGATTGTCTTAGATAGGTAGACATCTTGGATAATGTGATTATAATATTTTAAAAATGTTTGACTGTAGTTTTTTTGTTGTTGCTTGGAATTAATTAACTTCAAGAGCAAAGCAGTTCATTTTTAGTTTTTAGCTAAATAGATGATTGACTCTAGCTATGGCAGTTCGGATACAAGAGATTGTTGGCCTGGATGTATACAATGGCCATAAAGTTTTCATGTTCATATTTTTGGGTTTCCTGGGGTCTGGGGCCCATTTAGTCTCAGCAATTGCAGACCTGCCAACCTTCCTGGATTGTCTAGGAAATTCTCGGTTGCACTGCCCCATTCCTGACCTCCCGCTTTTGGCCGATATTACCCGGATTGGGGTCGTCGCTAACGTGGTGCAGCTATTATTAATTAAATTCTGTACTGAAATTTCGAAGTACTAAGAGACTAGATGGTCGAGCATCCGCCTCATTCTTCCAGTGTTCGTATTTGTCACGTTGACCGTATGTAGGCCAAACACCTGAGGTAGACTATGCGTTGCCAGTTGTTTTGGCCCTAGTGGGGTAGATCGGGTCAAGATTTTGGCACAAAACTGGGAAAGGTATCTGAAAAAAGATTTAGTACTGCTTGGTCTATCTTTCAGCCCGTCTCCCGTTTAGGGCCTAGGCCCACCGCGCCCACGGCCCGTTCTGTCAAATTCTAGTGGAAATGATCAACTCTTTTCATTGTTGAAATTTGGCATTTTCGTGTTTCTGTTCTTGGTTAATTGTCTAATTTTCCTGTCACATACTGCCTACTACTATTTTATTCTTGTTCTCCTTTGTTTTTTCTTTTTCAGTTTTGCACTAGTTAATTCTAAGTACCATATTTTTGTTCTTATATGACACGTGTTTATATGCCCGTCAAGTGCCAATGGTCGGTACCCTTAAGTGCTCGGGAAATTTTCCCTCTTTTTGACTTTGAAAAGTTGCCAGGTCTGCAATTGTCAAATTGAAGACATGTAAAAAGGAAATGACTTACATGTATTTATGTCTAACAAAATAATATGCTCAAAAGAGAAAAATATTAGGCCTAAATGAAAATTATATAAATATGTGTGTCGTTGCAGTTGAATCAGGCACTCTTCAAATTTTAGGGAACGGAGAAATCAATATTTTTCCGACTGTCGGACGATTGTTATCTAAATTTTTTTTCATGTTTTTTTGACAGACACCCTTTCTATCCCCTGAAGAACACATTTCCCACAAAATGTATTGTTTTGTAGAATGACAAAAAAATGTATTGTTTTGTAGAATGAGAATAAGTATTACACCTCACCAGTCTCCAATCTTTGGAGACCATTTTCTCACTTATTTACCTCTCACTAATTTACTTGATAATATCAGGTAACCCGTCGTCTTCTTACATCGCACTGAAGACCAAAATGGAAAAACAATCAAAGTCACATAATTTCACATTTTGAGAAAAACGAAATTTATAGTTTGAAACACCAGGAAACATCATGAATAACTGTGGACTGAAATGCTGCTGCTAATATCCATTGTGGGACCATTTTGCAAATGAAAAATAACCATTTTAAGGTACCAGTAAGTGGTAAAATATCTAATATCTTTACAGATAATTTTCTAACCTACCCCTCCCCCACCGGACTCTGATCCTTTTTCCTCTGCAAACATTTTCCATGAACTATGAATGAGAAAAATAACCTATAAAAATATCTTTAATGCTTTATTGCAAATCAAGTACAAGCAAAGTATGTTTAGGTTTTGCTTAATAGAAGAGCTCAAAACAACTGTAAACATTGAGATAAACTACATAATACAAGTGGGAGAACGGAAAATCTCCGTTCTAACAAAAAAGAATGATGCCAAAGCAAAGCACTCCCCTTTTCTCAACAAACTGAGCAAGTAAATTCAAATCATGTATAAACAAAGGCTAAACTTTAGATTTTAGTGGTTAATTCATCCACTGTATGTAGGTACCACAAACAGAAATTTCAAAGTCCTCTGATTTCATAGTTATCTGCACCACCTTATAGAACTTATTATTCTGAGCATTTTGATACCAAAGTTATACATATATATATAGCTTCATTTTTAACAAAGTTATGAACATCTGAAGTTGCAGAAAAGTGTTGCATTTTTTAAATTGCGAAATGTCTGCACTTTGGGATGTCATAACATTCTTAAATTTGAATGGACATTCACAAAAACTTGTAAACACACACCCATGCACATAGAGTATAGAGAACAAGCCCAATTTTTTTCAGGGGTATCATATAACCAGAAGATGGAATTTTGTTGACGTAAACATGGCTTTTCGACCAAAATGGCAAAAAATACAAGGGGAGGTAAAATTGTGACTTTTTCAGAAACTTTCAGAGACCATTGGGAGAACAAATATTGACTTATCTGGACACCAAAATGTCAAGCAATTCTAGATCTACAAGTCTATACTGCTCTGATACATGTATTAAAATTGGATCTGATACTGATATTAAAATCTACTGATTTGAAGCATATATTGAAAATGTCATAATTTTCTGCAACATACAGGCGAGAGCCATACACCAACGGACTCTATCACTGAGTGTCAAAGCACATAACTGAAGCCTCAAAACATCCAACTGTTGTAAAATACATAATAATAGCAGAATTCATTAATATAAAACCACTTGGAACATGAGTTTGAGGCCCTCGAAGGGCAGCTTGTTTGATCCAAAAATTAACTCAAAACAGACAGTATTTATTGCTAAACTATCTCATAAGTAAGACCAATTAAAAAAACAACAACCACCAACAACATAACTAGTATGGTAGTAAAACAAGCCACTGACATGTCTAATTTATACCAAAGGGAGTCTTAGTAGAACATGACAAGTGATAACCACATAGTGAAGTGTGACAGTAAAATCCTAATGAAATTTTAGACTAGCTCTACCCTCCTTTGGTCTGAAACAAAAGTCCAGATTCGCTGTCCTAAAAGAAAGTCTTCATTACAGTAGGATAGAATCATGTGAAAACAAACCAATGACATAATGTGACAATTATACCGGAGTAAAAGAAATAAAAGGTCCATACTGGTGCCACAGATGAGTCGGACTCTTAATACGACTTTACTGTTTTACAAGAGGTGTAACACCAAGAACAATAAACAGATCACCTGAACTGTGAAAATGGAAATCATAGCAAAAAAAACATGGTAAGACATCATGACTCATGGACAATGACAGTATGATAGCTTAACTCTCTTGCAAGGTGTTGGGTTGGGATCAATGATCAAAACAAGTCTTCTAACGTTCAACAAGATGCTCAAAATCTCCACTCAGTTTCAAAGAATTACCTAGGACAATCTTTTGGTACCTTAATTCATTTTTGTGACATTCTGTTTTCTTAGTTTTAGACATTGTCGTAATTCTCTCAACCAAAGAATCAACATCATCAAGATTCATACAAGGACCACCATAACTTGATACAGTGTCTGCAATACCAGCAGTCCTTACAATGCCAGCCAAATGCTTATTTTTTTTGCTGATTGGCAAGGAACTTCTGTCTGATTTGGTCTTTAACCATTTCTTCCTGTACCTTACTCTCTTTCCTGAAGACCTTTGACATTCTTCTCGCAAGAAGAAACAGTTTTTTTTTGGATGGAAAGCGTTTTTCTTGACAGGAATGTCATTGTCTTGTTTCTATTAACACAATGGACAGTGGTTCTGTTGTGGAGAGAAGCATTTCTACGTTTGAAAAGATCAAAGTCTAAATCTCCAAAGGCACTTTCACCAATAAGATTGGTTAATGTGCAGTGAGCCGTTTGTTTTCTAATGTCATCTGAGGGTGAATGAAACCTTCTGCCAGGAAGGAAATCAGACAACTGCCTCTTCAGAACCTCTGCACTATCTTGACAAAGTGCCTTCAGGACAACAAAAATTATTGACGCATGGTCTTTTGCAAACTCTTGCACTGACACCCAAAACTCTGATTTGATTGAGAATTTATCTCCAAAAATTGAACAAAAAGAAGAATAAAAAAGTTGGCTGGAGTCATGAGACCAAGCATTAAAAAAACTCAACATTTCATCAACATAAAAGTGAAAATCACAATAGCTGACAGAGCTGTTAACAAGTTTCCAGTAAGGACCTGTAATCTTAAGAAAAGCAAGTGCCAAAGCACACACTGAAGACATCAATATCAGGTACATGACAATGGCAATCAATTTTTGCAGGGTTTTTAAGTCTTTCCTCTAGATAGGCAATCTCGGTTTCCGCCCTCGTTTTCGCGGCCTTGGTCGAAGCTAAAGTTTTCCTCAGCGCAGATAGCTTGTCCGCATTGTTGACTCTTTCAGCAGTGAAGGAAAGTTTCCTCCTTAAGCAGCTGATCTCAGACTTTGCTTTCTTTAACAGAATGTTTAGTCTATTAGTCACTTTCTTGTGCTGAGCTGACAGCTTCTTTTCTCGTAACATGGAATGGAGACTGTGTCGCTCAATTTTGCGGACAGCTTGAGCAGCCTGTTGACCTAACTGCTGCTTCTCCATCTGTACCGATTTCAAGGTAGCCATGATGGCATCCTTTTCAATCATAAGCGTGTCATACTGGGTGCACGACAGTGTCGACAGGCGTTGATGTTTCACATGAAAAACTGTTGAGGAGTGTGTGGATGGCTGTGGAGGCTGACATGGAGAAGACTGCTATGCAAAGTTTAGACTTTAGAGTGATGAAGGGCATTATTCGAGGTTGAAAAGTGAATATGAAAAGAGACATGAATCATTGTTAAAAAGCATTCTCTCTCTCAAACACACACACACACACACACACACACACACACACACACACACACACACACACACACACACTGTCTCAAGCAGACACACACACGCTCAAGCTGACACAGTCTCTCTCATCCTTTCTCTCACTCACGAATTCCAAGTCGTAGAAAGCAAAATCTCTACATGAATTCCAGGTCGTAGAAAGCAAAATCTCTACATGAATTCCAAGTCGTGGAAAGCAAAATCTCTACTCAAACAAGAACGAATGATGCTACAGCAAAGCGCTCCCCTTTTCTCAACAAAACTTAACGAGTAAATTCATAAGATGACCTGTAGAAAAAAAGGCTAAACTGTACATTTTAGTGTTAATTCATCCGCTCTAAACAACGTTTAGAGTGATAAAGGATTATTATTCAAGGTTGAAAAGTGAACCTGAAAAAAGACATGACTCTATTAAAAATAAAAAGCTTTGTACTCTCTCTCTCTCTCTCTCTCTCTCTATCACACACATTCAAGCACAAACAGTCTATCTCTCGTCCTTTTTCTCTCACACACCAGCATCTACTCACATGTGGGCCGACAAAAGACGCACAAGTACACGTACACAATACCCTGCTGAGTGAAAACAGGAATTTTTATTCGTAAAGCTCTGAATTGGAATCAGCGCAGGAATCATTCACGGCATCTGTTCTGATCACAGGAAGATTTGTAAAAAATGGCTGATTATTTGGACTGCACAACTTTTTCAAACATTGCAAGTCCCTTCGTATTTTGGGGAGCTTTTGGGAATCAAGCCGTTGTATAAGCCGTCCTGCGTGCTGTTGCTGTGGCTACACTGTGTGCCTCTCTGAATAATTACAGCAGTTTCCATTTGCCCGTTCCATGACTCACAAAAACTAATGTAAGTGGGATGGTTAGCATCAAACACAATTTCTCGTATGGGATAATTAAAAAGTAAGACCATATGTGCTATTATATATATATATGTCATAAATGAATGCTTTGTTTGCATAAAACGAAAGCTAAAGGAAGCATTTATCAGCTGAAGTCAAAAAAATTTGTCGAAAAGAGGACAATATAGAAAGCGCTAGATCTAGAATCTAGATCTAAACTTTGAGAACAAAATCAAAAAACAACTCGGCTGTCTTTGTCGGTGAGGATTTTATGGTCTGGACCCTCCTGTTTGTGATGCTGAGCAAGGCAATGAATGCCTTTTGGCACACACGTTGACTGTGGTGACGGCCATGTCGCACAAGTTGAACTTTATATTCGTACAAATAGTCTCTAAATTTTGCAGACGTCTCATCTTGTTGAGGTCTCCGTCTTGTCACAGGCTTCAAGTGAACCAACGTGCTTAAATATAGGCGTCTTGCCCATCTTTACTCAACAGAGAGTTAAAGTAGCCTGTCAAGTCTGATTTCTCTTCGTCTCGGACTGTTACAAAACATTGCAGGGCACGCTTACAATCCTCTCCTTTTGTGTGACTTGAAAGGCGGACACATTTTGCTTTTTCTTTTGACGTTTGGTGTTTTTTAACGCTTTTTAGGGTTGTCTGTGACAACAGGCTCTTCCATCGTGGAATCCGCCATGATGATTATTTGTTTACGGTTGCCTATGACAATTGAACAACTCACTTGTGGGATCTGATCAAATGATCGTCGTTTGGGACTTAGATCGTTTTCGCTTTTTTAACAGTGGATTTTGATCGTTCTTCCACTGTAGCTTCTTTGAAAAAGTGTTTGTAACTTGGGACTCGGGTCCTTCTTCGATTTGGCGATACATGACAGTAAACATCAACCCCAGGGGCAGGTGCCCAGGACAATAACTAAAAAAATTAGATTTTGTGACTTTGATCGTTTTTCCACTGTGGTGTTGTCTTATACATCTCGACTTCTATGCAAGATTTTTTTTTCACCAAACTCAATGAAATTAAAGAAGCTTCAATTTGATAGAGCGCCTGATGCCACCATGCTGTGACACATATGGTACCATATGTAATGTGTAAGATAAGAGATAAGATAAGATAAGATAATACTCTTATTATCCCAGAGGGAAATTTGTATGTGTTATAATGAGACAACGCTGAGTGAGCCTCACCTCATGTTTCGTTGTTGGCAATGCTCTTATTTTTGTGCAATAGTGTAACCAATTCTTACATGATTTCATTCCATATTTGAAATGAAGAAATACACTCACATTGTTCAAATAATCAGTATTTCATTTGATTTGTGTTTTTTTGTCAATTGTTCTCTAAGCTGTATAATATTGCAAGCAATATTGTGTTGGTTCTTGTTGGTTAATGCTGTGGTTAACTCCTTTTCTGTAAAACATTTATCATTCTCGTCTTTTTTTTTTCTTTATATCTTACTCTCTAGTAACACCTCTAGTCTTTGGTACTTGAATGACCTAATTGTTTTGCAAGCATTGTAAAACTCTTCCTAACAACACTCAAATAAGATTGTGAACTTGCCTTGAGCACAGATTATTTTAGGCATAAATCAGGTAACAAGATATATTAAGCCCCCACCCTCTATTGTGCAGAGTCTGCTTTATGATCAAAGCAATTCAGTCCAGGAGTCTGAGTAGATGCCAGTTCGGCCGAGTATGGTTCACTTACCCGAGATCAGCTATCTTTACTCACCCCTGGACTCCCATCGAGAGACAGGTTATGTTTGACAATATATACTTGGTAGAATGCAACACAACCACCAGATGTGGTCTTCTGTGATGTAGTTTGTAGACCTCCCAAGTACTCTCCAATTTTTTTTTGGCCCGTTGAAGAACCGTGGTTGGATTTGCATAAAATCTTTTTAGAATTGAATTCATGACTTATGGCAAGTGATGTAAAATTGTATATATTTTATCTGCGTTTATTGCAATATACCTGTAACTTATTGTAAATGACATGAAAATTACATTTTTATTTGTGTGTGTTTGCAATACGCACTGGGGACTGATTTTTTACTCCAAACTCTCTTGTTTGGGGGGTTGGGTTTTGAGGGAAAACTCCCATTTTTGGTTATGGAGGGGTTAGCAGGTCTTACCTGAATTGGTCTCTCAAATTATAAAGTTAAAGGCTTGGATCCAAAGGAAGTTTGTATTAAGATATTTTCTCTCTTCCAGCTTGGGAATATTTTCTCTCTTGCCACTGTTCTCTGGGTTAACCAAGAGGTTCATTTTCATTTTTTAAAAAGAAAGAGTGCTTATTTATAATAACAATAATAAAAATAAATGGCATTGTACATGTATAGCGCATTCCCAGCTCAGCAACAAGCTCTATTCTCTTTACTTAACTTTACTACTTTTATACTACACTATAATTATTATTACTCCAGCAGACCCTAGAACACTCAGAAATATTCTTGGCTTCCCGGGAAGCTTACACTGCAAGCAGCTGATCAAGTGCTCAAAAACTAACAGACTGACAAGATATTTCATTGTCTATAGCAATAGCAGTCCCTTTATAATCCTGTGCCCCCCTGAAGGCTCACACAACTTCACAATCACTCTCTTGGCCATTCTGTTCTTTCCAGACCAGCATCTGTGGTGTAGGAGAAAGGTGCTTTGCTATCACATCCAGGAGAAATAAGTTCAACTCCCATGTGCAGAGAACTTTTATCAAGCATCTCCATCTTTCAGCTAGGATATTGCATTCCTCTCAGCCCGGGTTGCGCCTCCTAACTAAGTGATCTAAAATTCTAAATAGTATTGATGGGGGCATATAACTTCTAAAATTACATTTTTATTCTGCTTTCAAAATAACGTATCATCCCTCCACCCCCCTGGAAACTACAGTGTTGCACCCTGTTAAGCCCATACTGCTGTCATTCATTATAAGCAGACTCTATAAAGTTTCAAATAGGCCTACCCCTTTGCAGCTGAGTGATGGGAGGCAAACATGGAAAAGTATTTTTCTTAAAGACAAAATGTCCCATCTGACACTGACAGCAGGAACTTGAACTTGCATCTCTTTATTACAGCCATAAAGCCTTTACTTACCACTCAAATGGGTGGGTGGGGGTGGCAGGCACTCATGTGTGGTTTGCTACTTCTTTCCTAACAAACATCTTTTATTCTCATCTCTCCTCCTTTTCTTTTAGTTACTTTCTTAACACCTTTAATCTTCGGCACTTATGGCCTGTTTACACGTAACGATAAATTGTGTCAGATTCGTCGTATGTGAGAACTGTCCATTTTATTGACGGTCCCCCCGTTTTATGCAAGAAAAATTCTGAAATTATGCAAACGGAGCCCAAAATGTGAAATTATGCGATTCCGTTAATAAATAAACAGAAATGATGCAAAAAATGATCAAATTTTGCTAAATTATGTGGGGTGCATAAAACCACAGGGACAGTATTCAGCAGTGTAGTCTGTTTAGACATTCCAATCTATCGTCCTGTTTTCTTTCGATCTGGGAGATTCCAAGTCATTGACTTGACTGCAGATGTGCAAAGCACTGGGTGACCTTGATACACAACTTCACCTTTGATGATAAACTAAATAATAAAATTGCTAAAATTTACATAACGTATCACTTAGGTTCTCCGCGAGCAACTTTGCTTCTTTTGAGAGGATGATTTCGAATATATATGAAATCAATTTTTACCAGAGATAATTATTTTTTAAATTTTGAGCCCTAAGTTTCATCACGTCCCCGAATCTGACCGTGACGGCACGCAAAGTATCAAGCAGCCCTTGATTTCTCGACAGAGTCTCCAAGACATCGTCCAATCTTTGTACAATTTTGTGGTTTCACCTGACGATTTGTCTAATGATCGATAGATCGTCGA